AGGAACAGTAAGATCACATGCTCATTTCAATATAATAAATTTATTAAGCGTTTACTAGAATACTACATCCCTTCATGACTAAAAGCAGAACTAAAGCAAAGCACAAAGCAACTAGAAAACCAAGAGAATGACTAAGTTAATAAGACTGGCTTACAAACTCAGCAACCTTCGACCTTAGCATTCAATGGATTGACAGAGGTCAAAGCCAAATAATAATAATAGTTAACTACACAAGGTGATGATGATAAGTTAGGAAACAGGTAGGAGCAGGATCAAAAGGTCCACATAAATGATTGAGTTCCCGGCTTTATATTAATATTCATATGCAAACAATTCAGCTGGCCTTGGCTTTGGGTAACACAGTTTTGTCCACACATGAAGACTAAAGACTGACGTGAGACTAAAAAGAGGAATCTGATAAACAAAATTATTCTAACTTACCAGAACTTCTGTTCTTTGATGAAACTATTAATCTAAAGAGAGTTCATATTAGAGTCAAAGTAAAAACAAAACACACAATCATAAATAGGTAGCTAATAGGTTTACTTCCATGATAATATCAAAGAAAAATTTCTTTTAAGTTACTAATTTAATTAGTAATTTAGACTCACAGCTATTATAATCACACTACTGAAAAGAAAAAAAAGTTAGGATCCTGGTACTAACAGTCATTTGCTATATCACTGGAAATTTTCTCTCTACAACAATGAATGTGTTCAACTTAACCAATACAAATGCTAAGAAGTTAAGATAAAACTGAGTTATATAGGTACAAAAATAGAATTTTAAGTGTTTAATGAATAATTTCAAAAATATCATTATGTTTATCAAAAACAAAATGCATAAATAAATCAGATACATAATTATGACTGAGGCACCTGTACCCAAACTGACAGTGACAAGAAAGCATGAATTCCTATTATCATTCAAAAACATCTTCCACTGCTTTTTTAATTCAAAAGGAAATACTGAATTATTTGAACTAGAACATTATGAACCATAATGAGCAGAAATACCATTCCTATTAATGCTTCCTCCATCTGGAATGTTCTTCTATGCCATAGAATACTAGAGGTCAAAAATACATATTGACCATGACAAAATTGTAGTAGTAAATCTAGGACTCTCCAGACAAACTAAAAATTATTTTAACAGGTTTTAGAAAAAGAATATTTTTTCTCTCCTTTGGAGAAACAGGTGGCTGTGTAAGTATTTGAGTATCTTCCGATGTTGGGAATGTTTTATGTTTATCCACATCAGAAAAGAAGAAAACTCTTCTGTATGCATTCCAGCAAATGCAATTTAGTAACTTGAAAAAGAGCAAAGAAAGAGACTTTCCAATTTTCCTTTAATACCAACACTGAAAGGCAGGATGATATTTTAAATTATTTAAACTAAAAGAAAGTACTACATGTGGGCTGGAGAGAACTGTTAGCAATTCTGTTAGCACTGAAGAATACCCAGTGATGATGTTCTGAACTCTTTGAACACATTCCTTCTTTAATCCTTTCTTTCTTTCTTCCTTTTTTTGCTAACTAAAAGCTAGAATACTTGGGAGCCCTACAACGCTGTAGTCAAATTCCTAGTTCTTGTTTCTTCTTGAATATGTATGAGGGTACTTCAAGAAGTTCATGGAAAAAAAAAAACAGAATTAAAGTACAAGTTTATTACAGTGCAAAAAAAAAATCATTGAAATCCATGTTTTTGTAATATTTTCCATAAATGTTTTGAAGACCCCTCCATTTAACAGAGGAGCTACTGATGAAGCAAGCTAATACACATTTGTTTTAAAGCAAGTATCCTCATTTCATGAACTTTTTAATGGGGAAAAAGTTCTATCTTTATTTTCACTAACATCTGAGGGTTAACTCCTTCCATTACGATCCCAGGTGAAATCATGGACACTATAGCTCTACCACGTGAAGTATTACTTTTACCAATAACGTAATACCTTCAAATCACACTAGAGTTGACGCGGTTGCTGGATTATTTATACTCATTAGTTACTACTTGTATAATAAGTAGACCCTATTTACAGATTTTTTTAAATTTATGTTTTATCACTGTACATGTTTACAACATCCAAAATGGTTTTTGCCAGCATGAACATTAATCTAGTCAGATACTACCATACACATTACCACTAGGTAACTTTTCATTTTTGCATCTGTTAATTTCAAGAAACTATCAATAGTTCTTGTTTAATGCATTAAATATAGTATATTTACCACATTACAAATTGGCTTTGTAATATTTTCACTACTATGTTTATTTAATTTGCTTCCTTTTTTAAACTACGTTTTTTACATATTTAAAGTTAGTATGCTGAGAAGAGATCCTGGGTTTCACCTGACTACTGAAGAAGGTCACATTAAAAAAAAAAAAAAAAAAGGTTAAGAACATCTGTCTTAGAAGGAGAGAAACAATGGAACACATAGACCTCAATATTTTATTTCATTTCCTCTCCAGTGAAGTTTTTACACAGTCTCTCCATAGTTTGTTTACTCTTGTCATTGCAATGATTATTTATTTGCTGGCACTAGGTGTTTGTACATAGATTCAACATCTTCAAGTGCCAGTGAATCCTCAACAGTCAGATTCAGTCAACCTTTTCCCTATTCTCTACTTCAGAGATAGCCATCTGCACACCAATAACAAAACGCACCTTTCCTTTCAAACCTTTCCAGTAGGAACCATTTCCTCTTATGAATAATCATTTTCTTTCCTTTCTATCATTCTACATTCTGGGGCCAAATTTTAGTAAATTCAGATATTCTGCCTCAACCCATGACCAAGTAGCCTGGCCTCCTGTTGCAAACCACACTGGCCTTGTAGCAGAGGCCTCCCAGGCCACTCCCTGACCACTACTACAGCATCCAACACTTTAAAGAAAGATGCTCTGGGCTTTGCTTGCAGGGTCAATTTTGCCCAGCAGGCAGAGGCATGTTCATCCTGGCATGAGAGCCTTCCAATATCCTCTCCCACTGCAGGAGGGAATGGCCTCCAGTTTGAGTTCATCTGCCTGTTAATCCTTTTAGTGGCCCACCCTGAACTCCTGGGTCAACCATTCGAAAACCTGCTGCTCTACTCTCCTAATACAACCCTTCCTTCCCCCAAAAACATGCGCAAGGTCCAGAACACACTTACCAGGCCTCCACACAGGCTGAAGACTGCGGTGTAATTCTCCTGAGCGTTGACCTGGCCGCGGTAGAAGCAGTGACGCAGGTCTGGGGTCTCCATGCTGCGCTCTCTGGCACCATGAGCAGGGGCTCCCAGGTGCACCTCAGTGTAGCCAGCGGCCAGGAAGGCCGCGTCGGCGCTCAGGTTCAGCTGGAAGAGCTGCCCATAGGCGCTAATGCGGTAGTGGGTCCTGAAAGGCGTGGGTTCCAGCGCCTCGGAGCTGCGTTTCTTCCGGCTAAAGTGGCGGCTCTGAGGGAACACTTCTCCGAACTCATTGACCCGCGCCGGGGTCACCACTTCGTAGGAGGCCAGTGTCTTCACCAGAGCTTCTGCAACCACAGTGATACGGTTATTGAGCCCCCAGGCGTGCCCAGCCTCCCAAACTTCTTCAAGCCACTGTCCCTAGTGAAGGTCTCAAGTCCCGGGGCACCCGGGGGCCTGACAAATGCACGCATGCTGGCGCGCGTTCACACACACAGACACACGTGCGCACTGTGATTGTGCGTGCTCGGCTTTCCCACACCCCGGACTTGCTCCACGCTCCCCAAGCAGACTCTACCACTCATGGCCCTGAGCAGCCCACCTCTTCCCCCAGTCCTTCTGCGCGTGCCAACCGCAGCCAACTCGTGTCCTGTGAGCGCACGCGCCACCCTGCCCCACGCAACCCCACCGCGTGGTCCTGGGAGTGAGACGTGTCCGCGGCGCGCGCGATTCCTCGAAACCCCGCGCAGACGCGACTGCTGCGGTCACTTGGGGTAGCCTGATCTGGAAGCCTTGGGAGCCCCTGTCCAACGTCCCCGGGCAGGCTGAGCCGCTCGCCCCCTAGGTCCGCAAGTCCCTCTCCGGCCCGGAGCCCCCACTCCACCGCGGCAGGCGCCCGGCGGTGACCTTACCTTGCCTGGGGTGGAAGCGAACTTCCCAAGACCTGGTGATGAAGAGCGAGAGCTGGTAGAGCAGCCCGGTCAGCCACTTGGCCACCCGCATGGTTCCACCCTGGGGTCCCGACAAGGGAGGCCAACCCGAGCCGCCAGCCGCCCCGCCGGCTTCCCCCGCGCTCCGCTGCCTGTCCTCCCTCTCGCCTGCTGCTCTCAGCGCTGGCCGCTGCGGCGTCTCAGCAACCTCCAGAGCAGCAGCCCGGGCCCGGGGCAGGCCAGTCTCGCCACACCGCCAGCCTCCGCTCCCTGAGCCGCTGCTTCATCGCACTGCAGCCCGGCAACTCCCGGCTCGCTCTCGGCAGCCTCGCTTCCCTTCCTGCGCCCGCACTGCCCTCAGAAACCCTCTCAGTAGATCCAGCTCAGCGCGGGGAAGCTGCTCGACCTACCAGGAACGGTGCCAATATAGCCACCCCAGGCCAGGCGAGCGCTGGGAAGAGCCCGCCCCTAGGGGCCCGTCTCGGCCAATCAGCGGGAGGCGCGGCCCCCCAGCTCCCCTCCTGCGCGCAGCACCCCACTCTCCTCCCACCCAGAGACAAGATGAGTGTGATACCCCCGGGCTGCAGCTGTGGGCGAGCAACGTGGTTTGTAGCCCGAGCCCCAACTGGACGCCAGTCCGGTACCAATAAAACCCAGAGTGGTACAAGCATCCAGATAGGTGCTCGAGGTTTCTATTTCTCAGGATGAAATGACAAGTTTCAGTTCAAAAGTTATTTATGTTTCAAGATAATTTTAGGCTTCTCAAACAAAATTGAATAAGCGACAGTGGGAAGTTCTTGTAGACAGAGGATGCTATCAATGATACATGGTGGTCTGGCCTCTTTTGCAAGGGCTCTGTGTAGGCTGGGAGTTGAAGAATGTTATAAGGTGGGGAGAGGAAGCTGAGTTTGCAATCAACAAGCACTTTTAGATGAGGATTGCTGGCAATTGCCCAGTGAAATTCACGAAGAAAAGGGTGTGCGTCTCCAAACTTTTAGTTAATTTTTCGTGATTTATCTTTTCCTTATAATGTTCTAAATGGTTAAAAAAAAAGTCACCCCAAATCATCTGATCTTCAGAATCCATGAAACGTGGATCTGTCCTGCGTGGGAGTCATTCTTATGATCATTTCTGACAGCTATGTTTGTGGTATTCATATAGCCTTCGTTCACAATATCCAGATGATCCCACGTGTCGGCAGTTTTCTAGTTCTGAATTCATTTCTCCCACCAGGTGACTGTTAAACTGGATAAACCTCAACAGCAGGAGAAAGCAATCATTTCAGTACTACTTTGTTATTTCCCAAGTCCACCTGTTGGATTTGCAAGTTCCATAATTACTTCTCTTTACAACCAATATGAAAACAAAAAGGAGAGAGAATGACCGAACTCACTTGTAATCCAACCAATGGAGAGAAAGAATAGGAGAGAAAAAGTAAAGGGATATATTGGTAAATCATTCACAAGTATTTAGGATTTAGTTCCTGGCTGCCTTTCCTCCTCCTGAGCTCTCAACAATGGGAATTCTTCTTTCTTTGAATTGACCTCTGATGGCACGCCTTTTCACTTTTATATCAAATGCTTGGTCCATCTGTTGTTTGTCACAAATGTGGAACAATCTTGTTCAAGGAGAGAGGGTTTAATCTTACATCGCCCAAGGAAGTCGCCCAGCTTGGTGATAGTCATTCTTCCACAATCCCTCCCCTTCTTTTGTATCCCTTTCTCTCAAGTGACATTTCATTCATCAGAGAATTACAGACTTCTGGTGTTGTTTTTCTTTCCCGCAAAGTTAAGCACACTGTTACTCTAAATGAAACAAAAGTGGACTTCACCCACACCTGTCTATTTAGTAGTTACCTTCGGTACATTATAATTTAGTCATTTTAATTACATCACAGCACTGAATGAGTCTGCACATTAGAAGTCATGCCTTTCCTTGTATAAATACCAGAAAATAGAGCTGCACCAATTTCAATCCCATCACGGAGTGTTTGTTACTCAAGGCAGTTTTTGCAATGGAATATTTTATGTTCAGCCTCTGTAACTTTTTGGAAATACTGTATTGAAAATGGGGCTAGGATTCCCCCCACACACACACACCTTTAAAAAAAAGAAAGAAAGAAAGAAATACGAAGATATGTAGGATGTGTATTTGATCATTATAAACTTTACAATGTTCAATTAAGAGTTTGTCTAGCCTGGAGACTCGCTCGGTAGCAAAGTAGACTAACCTAGTGACTGGAAGCCACGTGGTAGACTACAGTTTCAGATAGCACCTGGAAATACACAGGGGACATACCTACAAGATGCTCAGGGCCTGGAGGGCTGGGAATGGGGGATCACAGTGTGATGTGACCCTGGTGGCAGGTGCTTCTCTTTCTCTTCCTCTCTCTCTCTCCCGCTCTCATATACACTCACTATCATGAATAATAAAAACAATTTTAAAGAGTATTATTTCTCTCATTTTATAGAGGATAAATGCTACAATTCCACATACTAAGTAACCAAGCTAGATTTCTACCAATTCTTTCATATTCCAAATGTCATTTTATTATACGAGATGATAAATATGATATTCAAATTGTTTTTCTGTCTTCTATTTATGAAAATAGCGTGAAGAAGCTAATCTATGTCATTTAAATCAAATGATTTCTTCATATTGCAAATTAGAACTACCATTTATAAAGTTCTTCTGACATACCAGTCACTGTAGAAGGGACTTCTGAGAGTTTATCTTATTTAATTTACCCATGACCTCCATTGGGCTCAGAGAAATTACGTAATTCTCTCTGGGTCACATATCAAGTTAGATTCAAATCTCTTTGGTCTTAAATTTCATACTTTAAAAAAGAAAATTGAACTTTTCATCTGCTAAAATCTGATGTATTGTTATAACCAGGGACAACTCAAAAAATCAAAGACAGTTTTATCAAGTACAATTTCACTTGATTTTTAATTCAGACAATCATCATTATAAATATAAGGTCTACAACCAAGCCAGCACAGGGTGGACAAAATATTCTTAATCTTGCAAAACAGGAATACACTCACTATATTCAGGGGTTGTACAGTTCTTGTTTTATAATCCTAATTCTGTAATTAACTGTATAAAGTTGAACGGCTTACCTAATGTAAGTCTACTTCCGGGTCAAATAATGAAGAGTATAATAATCCATGCAGTTGTTAAGATCATTAAAGAGACAATATAGTTAACACACTTGACATAATACTGGGCAAAATGTGTGTTAATGTAAATTAATGCTGATTGAAATTCAGGTTTTTCTTAGGTTACAATAGGAGACCGAATGTGCATACCAAAGGGAGCAACTGCTTGGAATCAGATACTGCATTTCTACTACTAGTACAGAGGAGGTAATATTGCCAGGCTTCACAGTTTCCCTGAAACTAGGGAGTTTCCCAAGATATAAGACTTTGGGTTGGGTCCAGAAGGCGGCGTGGTTGTTAAGGTGCTAGACTTCCACATGGCAGAAGGTGGTTCAAGTCCTGGATCTGGCGGCTTGCTTTCCCACTTTCCTTCTATCTCTCTCTTTCTCTCTTGTCTCTCTCTCTCTCTCTGGTGAGTATACATGCCCAATAGCATATTAAAAATAATAATAACATGAATAAATAAAATTAAATAAATAATTCTTAACAAAAAAGACTTTGGGTGCTGGTGCTAAAATTTAGGAAGTCACGGGGAAACTGGAACAAGTTAGTCACCAAAGTACAGGGTTTCTCAACCAAAGTGATATCGCTTTTTGAGGCTGGATGATTCCTTTTATTCTACCCTGTGTGTTGTAGATGTTTAGAAGCATCCCTGGCCTCTACCCACTAAATGCCACAATTCCCTAACCCTATTTTGACAACCAAAAATATGCTTATTTCCACACATTGCCAAATGTCCCATGGAGAAAGGATGGTCACAGTTGAGAACCACTGCTTTAATAGAAGCCTAGTCTGTGCCTCTCAGCACCAATAAATTGCTAGTCCAGAAAAGTGCAGTTAATCCAAGGATGAGCTGTTTCATATTTTAAGGATTCAAAAGAAAATAATGAAAGCAAATGCACTATGAAAAACATATATGAGGGGAACCAGCAGTTAGCGTAATGGCTATGTCGCTGGACTCCCACGTAGTCGACCGCGGTTCGTGTCCCGGACCCGGTGGCTTAAAACTCACGCCGGGCGCGTGTGCGTGCGTGCCCAAGATCCCGAGAGGAGAATGGAGGAGAAGGGATTGCGGCGTGACCATCCCCCCTGGGGGGTGATTTCTCGCTTTCTGTCTCTATGTCTCTCTCTGTCTGTCTGGCGAACGCACGCGCCCTACAGTGAAAATCTCTCTCTCAAAAAAAAAAAAAAAACAAATATTGGAAAAAGT